CCAGTGCGAAGGCAGCATGTCAAACTCTCTTAGGCTATCACATTGATTACCTTCATACATCCATGAGATTACATCTCACAGCACTGTTTTCTGAAAAAACGCAATGCCCACCCTAAACCCAAAAATAAACTTATCTCTTTTGATAGATTAAATAACACAAGTTTTCAATGAAGTCTGCATAAACTCGATTGGGCTGTTACTGGAACAAAGCATAACTGAAAATCTTATAAAATATAGCAGTATTTCTAATTTTGGGGGTTCATAAACACCCTACTTCCATGTAATAAATAAGAACTTATTTAAAATAGAAGTGAAATTCAATTTGGTAAAGCCTTTATTCAACTAGGGTATTGAAGAGGTTATCCTGAGAGCTGTATTTCCTAAGAGAATACAACAACTTCACACAAATGTCACTACAGATATAATGAATGTTTTTTCATGCCAGTGTCGCTCACCCTTGCCTGCCTGCACCCCCTCCCCAGGCTTTTCAAAATGTATTTCATACACAGACTCACTGTTCTGGTTGTTTATTGAATTAACATGACAGCCCAGCATACACAGCATTTCTTTCAGTTCTACAGTTTTAACTTTTTACACTTTAGACTCAATACAGAAAGAGTAAAATTACTGTTTGACTCCTTCCAACCTCTGTAAATTTATATAGATTCACTGACTATTTCTGTCCGTTAAAACAGTTTTGCAGTATGCTTTAAATATTTGCAGTCACAAAATAAAATCACAATTTTGTTCCCTCACACAGAAAAACTCTCCTTCACCTTTCCCGAGGGATAAGAAAATCTTGTTTTTCCTTTTTGTGTTTTCAGAAGTTACATTAATTAATTTTAATTCTGTCATCAGATAATAAATAATCATTATTGTTCTTTATATCACCATAAACTAAATTATACCACTGAAATGTGACGGTTATACAATTGTGACAAGTTAATATACAATTTAACTTAAAACCCCTAATTGTTCCTAAAGTTATTCAATTGGAGAAATATGTTAAAATGAAATGTATTTAGGAATTTAAAGGATAATATATTCTTCATTTTCAGAAGAAATACTTGTTTATTTTACATCTGCACTATAAACACAAGTAAGTTATACTTTTTACCAGAGACGTAACAAGGCCTACCATATGCCTACCATTGAAAACCATCTTTACTGCTCCTATTTCTATCTTGAGTACTGCCTTGAGTTGAGAGTAGACATTTTTTCAGAAAAGAACTCCTAACCAGGTAGCAATCTGAGCAGCGTTATATATATATATATGTTTTATAACTATTTTGATTCTTGACTTCATAAAATATGTTTTTGTATGATTTTTTCGCTTGAAAATACCTTTCTTACATCAGGGATGAAAAACTTGATTCTGCTTTTGATAGCCAACCACCAGACTCCTTTACATTCCTATAAAAATCTATTTTCGCTAAAAATATTTAATTAAGAGCTTTATGGGAAATATTCATGGGAAATAATTTTGGTTTTTAATTACACAAGATAAAGTATACAGCTGTACTGATATTCCTGACTGACACTGTATCCATCACAAAGAATTCTATCATTAAATGCTACATTAACGGGGGTGAGCAAATGCCTTGTGTTTATGTAAAACCATTTGCAAAAATATTAAATTCTTCTTAACCTTTAGCAGAAAAATGGCACTGGTTTGGAATCTTTCAGAAATGAATATCTAAGGTGGTCACAGTAATTGAGTAATTAGAGAGGAAAGACTAGCCAATTGTGTTCTTTGATGTGTGAAGAGAATAGACACTCCTTCAAATTCAATTTCCAAAAGGTTAAAAATCACATAAAATTTTAGGTTGAAAAATGACATTTCTTTATCATACATAATATCTAATAATTCAAGAAAATCTAAGTACCTCTGTATATTCCAGTGTTTGGAGGGGACAGTGATCACTTGAGAGAAACATGCCTGCTCTCCGCTGTGAACATCCACTTAGAAAAGATACCTCAGTCTTGAGGATACTGGCCTGGTAGGATGCCTTAGAAGCCAGGCAGATGTTACCAACTTTGTAACATCATCTTCACTTAAGATAAAGATACCTTCACTTGCATTCACAGACATACCTAATGTGGGATTAATTCCATGACTGAAGACTAGACCCATTTCTCCTTTTTGTACCTGATGTCATCTTTATCATCAGTACTGTAAAACTCATCCCATACGCAATATCCATCTATAGGCTTAATTAGGGTTCAGGAAGGAAAGGAGGAAGGGAGGGAGGGAGACAGGAAAATATATCTGTCAGTTGGTTTGTCTTATGAGAATTTTATCATCTGTTCTCCTTGACCTTTTAGAATTGAGTCATTGAAGAGACAGCTCATAACAAGTAGCCACTATCATTCATATGGCGAAGAACAGGCTGAAATTCTCTCACCTTTAAACCTCACAATGAGCAAAGTCCAAATAAATTCTCAAGAGGCCTCTGCCAGACTCTGTGTTTTATGTCCTTTTGCCTCTACTTAAAATTCACTTGTTGCCTAAGTACTGCCTTGAGTTGAGAGTAAACATTTTTTCAGAAAAGAACTCCTAACCAGGTAGCAATCTGCGCAACATTATATATATATATGTTTTATTACTATTTTGATGCTTGACTTCATAAAATATGCAGATGACAGTGGTACACTTTGCACCCTTAATCAGAAGTTTGTTTCCTTATGATAAAACAGATAAGCCATTTACTGTATAGCTCCTGAACTTTTCACATACTTAGGTTAACGTATGAGATATTGCCCTTATAAGATACTATTTCCAGGTTAGTTCCCACCCCTCCCACTCCCCAACAATTATGCTCACAGTAATTTTAATGGGTCATATATAAAATCTAGTCTTAAGGAACACCTACACACTCACCCATGCCCTCATTAAAACATCAAGGGAGCTAAATTTCTGCTAAATGTAACCTTGTTTTTCCATCAACCGTAAGAGAGACACTTTCTCATTTTATTCTTCATAAACACCGCCTTTAAGAAAATAGTAACCAAAGAAAATGACTGAAATAGATTATAAATATGCATTTCAATAGCAATAACAGCAAACATTTAAAACTGCAATGCTATTTTCTTAGAAGTTCACAGGTTATTCAAATTCTCCATTTATCAATTCAAACCAGAGAAAACCAATAAAAATCTGTTAGTTAATTAACACTGCTGGTTAATTCACCTAAATACCTTCAAATCTTAAATCTACTCTTAACTCCTTAACTTTTAAATGTTAATATTTCAGAAATTTAATTTCAGAAGTTAAATGATATTAATTTGGAGTCAAGTTATTTATGATTAAATCACAGATTTCCCTCAGAAATTATGGTTCAGTTGTGCAAGGATCATATCAGATTTCCCTATAAAGTATATTCTAACCGTATTTAAACTGGCAGTGATATTTTCAAAAAATTCTTTCCTGTATCTTTGAAAAGAAATTTATATGTTTCCCCTTAATTGTTTTACCCTTAAATAGATAGCTTACTTCATTTTGGTTTTTACCAAATTTCTTCCAAAATTAAGTATCAGTCAATGGACTGTTTTTAATTTCACTCTTAGGGTAAGCTTAAACCCAAGAAATGTTTACTCTATCTAAACAAAAAGTTAAATAAGTACATTTGTTTTAAAATAAACAGAGAGACTATGATGTTGTCATCCATTCTGCTAAATAATGTCAAACAACCACATTCTGTGTAATCAACTCCACTTCAGAAACAAACTAGCCACCCACACCATATGGTGACTGCTATTTCTTACAAATACCTAACTGATTATCTACAAAATACCCTAAGAAGAAAATGCTTACCCTATCTTGGGATATTCTCTCACTCCCTAAAGTTGTCCTAATAGTACCAGCAGCAGACATAAATTTAAATGGGAAAAGTGTAAATTTCCACTTGCTGTACATAACCAGCTCTCCACCACCCTCACTCCCAAGTGTCAAATCAGCTTGGCCTAGACTGGTGAACTCTTAAGTATGCTTTTTCAAATACAATTTGAATTTAAAATTGGGGTTTGTTCACTTAAGCCCTTATAGCAACTATATTTTACAGTCTTAAAATGCCTAATGATAATGAGATTCACACCCCCAAATTCACTAAACTTTTATCTAGGACAACTCCACTCATAATTCGATTCCTCCTCCTCCGTTCTAAAAGATTTACACCACCAGCAATCTTAGAGATAGTCTCAATATTTCCTGTAGAACCTGAATAAGTTTTGGTAATTTCTAAATATCCACTTAAATATGTGAAAGCTCAAGAGAAATATTTTTTAGTTAACACTAGCAGCACAGATCACGATTATGACAAATTCTGAAGTTCAAACATACTGTCCAAATTGAAGTTTATGGTTATGATACAAAACATATTAACATGTAATAATGTATGTACCCAATTTGCTTTTAAAAACAAACTGGGCACCACCAGATTCAGTCTCTTCAGGTAAAACTTCATGCAAAACCAGAAAATGTATCAATACCTCACCTTCAAGTATTCCCTGTTCTTACTCTAGAATCTTTTTACTGACTTCCATGACCATTTACCTGTCACTTTAGAAGAAATTTCATTAAAAGACATAGAAATAAATCTAGTAAAATCCACATGCTTAAATATCAGCCATTGCTTAAAAAAACAATAAACTTAATCCGAAAATTTCTGCTTAAAGGAAAAAAATGAAGGTAATTAAAAGTGTAGGGAAGCCCTACGCCAGGTGTAGCCGATCTAAAAACTTGGCCCAGCTGTGGAAGACCCTGCAAAATGCCATCTCGTTTTGTTACTTACTCGTGCTTCTGTTGTTCAGGTTATAAAACATAGTGTGAGAGGGTGAGAAAAACTCGGTAGTTTCCTACTAAGTTACACCATTGAAGTTACACCACTTTGTAGTCTATCTTTGCTTTAGTTCCCAGCGACCGAACTCCCTCCGCTTTGTGGCAGATCCCAAATGTTTCAAGTTTTCCCGAGAGGCGAGAAGAGGAGCTCGTCAGCGCTTACCTGTTCCCTGGGTATGCAGGGCAGGGAGGTCCTCCGATGGGACTTGCTGCTGCAGCCGGACATCTCGGCGGACACCACGGAGCTGGACCGCCTCCTCCTCTTAAATACCGGGATGTCTTCCTTGGTCCCAGCAATTAGCTGGGACCCAAAATGCTCCCTCGGAGCCGCCCCCGCGGACTGCGGCAAGATTTGCTCCACGTACCTCGCCAGGAGGATCCCCAGCACGCCAGCCAAGTACGCCAGGTAAGGTCTCCAGGCGACCTTGAACCTCTCTAAGGAAATGAGGGACACGGTCCTGACCGCGCTAGTCAAGGCGATCATGAGGACGCCCAGCCTCAGCTTCAGCACCAGCCATGTCGCGGCGGCCAGGCAGCTGAGCACCACCCCCGCGGCCGGGAGCGAGAGTAAGTGATCCTCCCCGACGCCCAACCCAATCTGCACGAGCGCTTCCCCCACGCAGCAGGCGGCCAGCAGCGCGACCGCCAGAGGCAGGCGCACCCCGGCGCGCAGGAGGTACAAGCCCATCCAGAAGAAGGCACACAGGAGACTGAAGAGCAACGCCGAGGGCTGCAGCCAGGGGCTGGGCGGCGCACCGCCCCCGGGAGCACCTCCCCGAGGCCCCGGGAGAACGCCCCCTTCTGCTCCCGGGGCCGCTGCCGCCTCCGCCGCCGCCACCGCCACCGCCTCCTTGCTCTGCACCGGGTCACAGCCGGTCTCCCCGCGGACCAGCCTCACCAGCAGCGCCAGCAGGAGAGGCAGGGAGCCCGCGCACAGCGCCGGGGAAAGTTTCCGCGAGCGCCGGGGCGGCTGCAGCGCCAGGTCGCCCCAGCGGCGGCGGCGGCGGCCCGCGGCCGCGGGGGCCGGACTCACGCCCCCGGCGCCGGGCTGGTCCCCGACCCGGGCGGCCTCGCCGGGCGCTGCCATGCTGTGCCCTCCTCACCGCGCCCCCGAGGGCGCCCCGACGCCCCCACGCCGGCACACGCCCCGACACCCGGCCCTGCCTCCGCCTGACCCACCCTCGCGATCCCTCCGGCTTCTCCGCAGGCCCACGAGCCGCGGAAAGTTTCGGCTTTCGAGTAACTCCTGGAGAAAATACCAGGCGCTCCAAAGGGACGCCTTGCACTTGAAAGCCAGCCCGGGCGGGGCGACCAGCCTTCCTCCTCTGCTCTCTCGGCAAAGCTGCGGACGATCCTCCGCTCCACCCCAGCCCCGACTTCTGTCCTGCGGGGTCTCTTCCTACTTGAGAATTTTAAAGCTTGCCCGGCGCGGGCGGCGCGCGGCGGCCGCGGACGCGGGAGCCGCCGGGTGCGCGCGGCGAGCCCGGGGCCATCCGGGCGCAGCTCGGCGCCGCGCTGGGGCGCGTCCGGCCCGCGGCCGCCGGAGGTGTCCCCGCTCCTCCTTCCTGCGGCTCTTCCTCTACCACGCTCTCCTTCTGGGCCGCCGCGCCCCGGCGCAGTCCCGGGGCGCGACCCGCCATGCCCTGGGGCAGAAAGCAAAGCCTCCCCTGCGGCCGTCGGTCCGGTTCATGGCAAAGGGTGGAACATTCGGGAGGGGGCTGAGGAATAACCCAGAAGTTGCCAAGTCCCGTCGGAGACACACACAGTCCGAGACCGAGCGGCGGCCGCAAGAGAAGGGCGGGAGGGAGGGCGAGCTGGAGAGGAAGGGAGGGTGGGAGGAAAGGGGGGTGCAAAGGGGGTATGAGCTTTGCTCTTTCCTTCCCCCCGCCCCTTTTTGGTGCAAATTGGTGGTGATTTGCAGTTTTGCAGAAGGGAAATGAGTGGAGACGACTGCTGAAAACTGTGCAAAAAAAAAACAGGCGACTGGAGAGATCGGCAATTCCGCCTTCTTGCTTGCTTGCTTGCTTTCAGGCAACTCCCTAGGAAAAGCTCTCGCAGCCGAGCTCCCGCCCCTCCCCGGAGGAGGCGCTGCCCGCAGCTCCAGGCCCCTCTCCCGGGAGCCGGCCGAGCTTCAGGGTAGCTGAGGCCGGTCCACCGCCCAGCTCACCGCGGGCGCGGGGTGCGGGGGTCTGCGCTGGCCCCAGGCTGAGCTTCCTGGGACGCTGGGGGGAGAAAAAGGATTGTGCTTGGCCACTTGGCAGGCAATGGGAGCCAATATACGTCCTACTGTCATTAAAAATGACAGCCACATCTACAGTCCGGGTGATTCAGAGATGCTCCGAAGTTCTCAAGTCAGCGACAAAAGCAAACCGACTTCAGGTGACATTGTAACGTTTGAGCTTGCTGCTGCCTGAAGCTTTGTGTCTGTTTTCCACAAAGAACCCAGTTGGTCCAAACGATGGGAAATGTCAACAAGTTACCTGGACCATAATATGCACAATTATTAAACAGGGTGGTTATATTTTAAAACTTGTTACTTTTTAAAAAAAACCCATGAGAGTATTTGTCAACATTTGTTGAGGGTGAATGGTAAATTACATTGAGATTGAAGTGACCGTGACCTCAGGAAGCTTTACAACCTTAGGAAGTCCTAATAGTCCATCAGACAGTAATATAAAGACAGGAAAGATCTTAGGCTGTCTATGATTATGAAATACTATGTCTAGTGTGAAGAGATCTCATGAGAAAAAAACAGGACCATAGTTACCGATGTTATGGGGTGCACTGTTCATGTACTGTAGTAATGTCTTATTTGAGAATCCACAGGGAAATTTTAAAGGTAACTTTTTGCACAATATGAAAAATAATGCAATATTTGTTCAATGGATTTTTTAAAATCCATCAGTGTTAGGAGCCAGTTTCTTTTTACACTCAGAGCCAGAATATGAGAGTACATTCTGGTTTGTTTTTAAAATGGCTACCTTAGATGTCATTTACCCTCACTAATAATAAAATTAATAATTTTGTCTGAATTATCTCGACATTCCAGGTAAATGTGTGTTTATAGCATGGAGTCTTTGGATAATTGGTTCAGTATGACACAGTATGTTGTGTATAGAGATGAAGCATATAAAGAAAAGCTCTAAGATAAAATTAATTCATGGGGGTTGGGTATAGGTGTCAGTCTTAAATTTACCTTCATGGAAACGGCCTCTCTAGTAAGAAGCAGGCATTAATAAAACATTATGACATAAATGGATCTGAGGACCTGTGATGATACAGCTTCTCCCCATCAGATGTCCAGAACTGAGCTACCACATGGAGCATAAGTTGGGCAGCTAGTCAGCGGCAGTGGGTACCATCTGCTTAATAATTAAGGGAACAGGAACAGCAATGTCTTTGCCAAAGACAAATGAGCCCCCTATCATGCACACATACTTCTTTGAGTTTCCTTTTTAGAAGTATGATTCATATGCCAGAGCCTACCTGGGACGCTTCAGAGTGAAAAACGTTGATTGGAAAATCATGCTAATATCCACTGGCATCAAAAATAGCATAATAAAATGAAAAACTGTAAAAATCTGGGCATGTATCAAGGTTAGAAAGAAAGACATAATGAAGGGAGTTTTAGAATATTTCAATTTTCTCTGCCCCCTACCTTCGGCATTATCTGTTGTTTAGAAAAAATATAATCATCATAACTGAATTTGGAAGAGAAGGAACATAGACACTACACAATTAAAATAGAAAAAATAGCATTTGATAATGGCAGCAGCAAAACAGAAATACTGCATCTGTAAAACAAAGACATCCTCGAGGTGTTTAATAGTATAACAGAGGCAATGTCCCGGCATCTGCCGTTCTCCTCATTCTCAACAAAAATCACAACCAGAAAGTTACTTGTCCCACCAAAAGGAAAGAAGGGTAGATTCCACCCCACTCCACCCCCCTCCTGAACAAAAACAACAAAATTCTCTTGTTAGAGAGACCCAGAAAGCCCCAGCACCATACTGACTGAAAGAAGTGACTAACGTCATGTAGAACATATTAAATTAAATGAGCCCCAATACATAAAGTGGATGCTGAGTGATCACACAGAAATAAAAACTGCTCATTTGGTACAGGCAGTGTTGAGTCCTAATTCAAAAAAGTGACGACACAGCCAAAGGATAAGGAAAATGTGGTAGACACAGAAAAATGGAAAATGGAAAGAAAAATTCAGATTTAATTTGATAACGGCTCTCCACTCCGCCAAATCTAACAAACATCTTTTCATTCATACTTTGGGAAGAGGATCTAGAGATTCCCCCTATTGTATGTCATTTGCACTTTGCCAAGAATGGTTATGCTTAAGGGAATTCTGTTAAATTCAGAAAGTTTATACTCCATAGTATGGGTTCGCTCAGTCTCCATACCTACCTGATCTCTATTGGTGAATATCCAATGGGTATTTAAAATAGAATGCATCAAAACAAAATTCTGAACTTTGAAATCCCTCCCTGACCTTCCACCACCAATCCCCACACACCCAAACTATTTATCCTAAGTCCTCCCCGACCCCAGGAAAAAACATAACCACCTACAGAGTTGCTCAAGCCCCAAAAGAGGGTATTGCCCTAGATTCCTTCTTGTGTTTACCTTGCTTTACTTCCAGTCTATTAGCAAGTACACTTGATTCTACCTCTAAAATATATCCTGAATCCCTCTACTTTTCACCATCCCTTTGTAATAACCGGTCAAAGACACACCATCATCTCTGACAAAGACAACTGCAGTGACTTCCTAACTGGTCTTGCTCTCCAACCATTCGTTTTTCTACACAGCAGCCAGAGTGATAGGTTGAAAATGTAAATCAAATTTTAAACCATCTGAAGGCTTCCCTTTGCACCTGTAGAATCCAAGTCCTCACAGCAGCCTACAAGAACCTTCTTGACCCTTCCAGGCCACTGTCTGTGACCTCTCCTCCTTTTCTAATTCTCCTACTTCACTAGAACAACACTGACCATTAGAACATTCTTCAAGGATGGAGGTACATTCTGCGTTGTCAAATACGGTAGCCACTAGCCACCTGTGCCTGTTGGGCACTTGAAATCACTAGTGCCAGTGGGGAATTGAGTTTCTGTATTTTATTTTATTTTAATTAAGTTTTAATACCCTCACATGGCTAGTGGCTTCTGATGGGGAGTACATCTCTCATCCTTCACGACACCTTTCTGTTCTTCATTCTGTCAAGTAGAAAAGCTGTTCAGGACCTTGGTATCTGCAGATGTTTGTATAGCTGCCTCCTTCTGTTCCATCAGTTGTCTTCTCAAATATCACCTGTTTAGAGAGTGATATTTGTTCTCATACTACCGTTTCATTATATTTATAGCATTTTATCACTATATAAAACAATCTTATTCATTTGTTTGCTTTCTTGCTTATTTCCTATCTCCCTTCACTAGAGTGTAAGTGCCATGTGAACAAGGACCATGACCATCTTCATCTTGTATGTACCACCAATGACCAGAAGAGTGCCAGGACATAGGAGAAGCTCAATACATACTTGCTAAATAAATACTTGAATTAATGAATGAATGAAGTCAATAAATAAAGGATGAAAGACTAAATGAAAACATCTTTCTTATAAAGTCCTAAGTTAAAGACAACCTCCATATTTTTTTATATATAACTGCCCAAGTGGCCAGGTCCCTCAGGTCTTGCATTGAGGATTCTGTTGTCCAGAGTGGACCAGTGGGCAAAATCCATGCACAAAGCACTTTTTACAAAACGTTGCTTCTAAAGAATTGCTATATAAATTATCACTTATAAGAGAAATAAGTAATAGTCAACGTTTTGAGAACTGTGTACTGACTCTCAGATGAAATGTCTGTAATCCACAGCAGGTTTCTGGTGGGCATGGGGAAAAAGCAGTTTAAACATATGCATCTGGGTAGCAAGTCAGCTGAGAAATCTGAAATTAGACGTCTGAATATAAACTCCTGACTAAAGAGTCCTGTCTCACATCATGGTCTATGACACAGTCTCTGTTCCAATTAACAACACTACTTTAGGGTTTGAATTTGAATTTGAAAATATTAAACATTTTGCCAAGATAGACCTTTTTAATACCAATTATCCCACATCTCATCAGGGAAAAAAATCAGAAAACTTTAATTTGGG